CTGCATTGGATTACAAATAACGCTTATGATCCTAGATTTAAATGAAGTATTTTAATTTGTATATTTGACATTGAAATCCTGCAGAAGACATTGAAAATGAATGTCAAGATCTGACAGGATAAATACTATTTCATTTTATAGATCTACAATTTAATGCAATTAACCTAACTTTCTGACACACCCATTTCATTCTGTTGGGGTATTGAAATTTTTCATATAAGGCCAAATGATATTAGGCCTAATTGAAAGCCAGGTTTCCATAAAATCGCTACAAAGTCACTACAGTGTCTTCAGTGCAATCGTTGTACTGCGTAGCAGTCAGTGCCCAGAGCAACTGGGAAGGCTTCCTAATACGACTAACTGATTAGCATCACCGAAAGCTGTTGGCAATAACGTGTAGCGATTTGTATTTAAACCAATCTTTACACATCCGGGATTTGAAATTATTTTTTTGGTGAAGATATTTGCTATTTATTATTCTATATACCAGTGGTAAAAATGCTGGCAAATAATAATTTATTATTATTTTTTTTTATAAAAGAAGTATAAAAGGAGTTATGCTGGTCTTTTGTTTCCAACTCTTCTTAGCCTTTTACAATAATCTTTCAGATCATCATCATTTTCATTTTGCATGGACATTTTTTTTTTTTTTTTTTTAAATCGCAATTAATTTTTTTTCATGAGGCTCCAAAATTTAATAGGGGTGGGGACATGAAAACTAGCAATTAATTTTATTTAGCTTAATGTAAACCTGAAACCATTGGGTAAGTTTTCCACTAATTTCTTAGCTGCCCTGTTGTTCAGTGCATTCAACAAAACAAGTTGCTCTCACCATCCATGCTGTCACCCACTAAAACTTTCAGAGAATTCAACAGAATGAAAAACAATGAGCTAGCAAATTCAAGGAAGTTTGTCTTCCAGCACATTGTCCCACGAGAATAGCAGCTATTTATTGCTAGGACCCCTGCACAAGTCAATCTACAGAATGCCTGTTATGATGACAAAGTCCATGTAGAGTCCCATCAGTCTGCAGTTCAAACATTAGGCCTTACAAAGCCATGAATCAAAGTGGTTAGTTCCGTTTTAAAGGTTACATACGAATATCGACAGACAACGAGATCTATGCGAATGCTCAACTTGGATTTATCATTTCGTTTCTGGCAGTTGTTTGATGTCTTCATTCAGATGATATTTGTAAACAAAAAATATAAATGTTTGCCAAATCTTTCATTCATTATTTGGAAGAGTGTGTCACGTTGCTGTCATTGCTTGTCTCAAATACATATTGTCGAGGCTTAAAAATCCAAAATAAGCACCCAACATGTTTTCAGTATAACATATAAATTATGCTACTGTATATAAATACTGCACTGGGCCTCATTTTACAGTATAGCGTGCATGAATGTAATTACATGCGAGACAAGTAAATTATGTATTATATATTGTATGTAAAAAAAGATTTTTAAAAAAAAGTATGGACATACAGATGTGCTACAGACCTGTATTGGCTTTCACTCTACCTGGAAATTTACATGTTCATCCGATCTATAATGATGTTTATCATATAAATATATAGTACATTGAGCAGCTTTTGGAAGCTTTGATATCTGATGATGCTATTTCAAACTTTAGCTATCTGTTGCCCTCTAGCCATGCCAACAGGAGCCAACTATTTATATCTGGATTTTGTTCCAGGGAAAACATTGCGGGCGAAATGTACGTAAATGCTTTTCCAAAAAGTTATTAAACTAGAAGTGAGAAGTTCTACAACACAACAAAACATTTTTAACTTTTTGCATCCACTTACACTGCTTAGCTATTTTTGTAATATTTAGTTTTTGTTATGTCTCTTATTGCATGTTATGACACTTTTTTTGTGGTGATGTGCATTGTGAGTGACCTTTCAGCTGCATATTGAAATCTTGAGTCATGAAATATCAAAATTTTATTGTAGTTTTACCTCTTTAAAATAGAGGCTTTAACATTACAAGGTATGAGTCACTGTAGCAAGTTATATTTGCCATCTTATGAAATACAGACTTCAATACTTCGTTAACTATTTCCGATATATTATTACCTTTTAGTAGCCCTCCCACCCATGTTTGATAATGAATCATTATTCACTTCTCATTTTTATATCTTCGATAACTGACAGTAGACTAGTTATGTTTGTTGAAGGCCTTCTACAAAATTTGTAACATTAATCAAGTTAGATTGTTGTGGTACTGCCTTGCTGTAACTCTGACGGAGAAAATTCTCTGTCCTTGTAAAAATTAAATTATTATTTTATGAATATCTATTTTGCTTCGTGTATATTAGCACCGTTTAATCCATGGTCACAAACCAGATTATAAAGTCAGTGAAACAATTAGCGTCAGGGGAGTGCTGACAACATCCTGTAGTGTGCGGAAAACATAGCTTCATCGAATATTTAGTAGGAACTAAAATTGATCCGTGCTTTATCTTTTCCTGTACATGTGTCTAAGTGTTATAGAATAATCAAAATACTGTATAAATCTTTGGTCCATGTCCTACTTAGATCAGTCATTATAGAATTGTTGGATTTAATAATTTCCTCTTTAGGCAGTTGGGTAGAATTGCTTTTGAGTATTGCAGGTAGTTAGGCCATGTAAAAAAAAATTGGTTAACATCCCTTCCCTACCATCAGAGAGGCCACCAACATAATTTTTTTTTTTTTTTTACAAAACACTCACAAACTCCATATTAATACAGGTTTGTTTACAACACGTCCGCACGCTAGCCAGACCGAAATCTTGAGTCATGAAATATCAAAATTTTATTGTAGTTTTACCTCTTTAAAATAGAGGCTTTAACATTACAAGGTATGAGTCACTGTAGCAAGTTATATTTGCCATCTTATGAAATACAGACTTCAATACTTCGTTAACTATTTCCGATATATTATTACCTTTTAGTAGCCCTCCCACCCATGTTTGATAATGAATCATTATTCACTTCTCATTTTTATATCTTCGATAACTGACAGTAGACTAGTTATGTTTGTTGAAGGCCTTCTACAAAATTTGTAACATTAATCAAGTTAGATTGTTGTGGTACTGCCTTGCTGTAACTCTGACGGAGAAAATTCTCTGTCCTTGTAAAAATTAAATTATTATTTTATGAATATCTATTTTGCTTCGTGTATATTAGCACCGTTTAATCCATGGTCACAAACCAGATTATAAAGTCAGTGAAACAATTAGCGTCAGGGGAGTGCTGACAACATCCTGTAGTGTGCGGAAAACATAGCTTCATCGAATATTTAGTAGGAACTAAAATTGATCCGTGCTTTATCTTTTCCTGTACATGTGTCTAAGTGTTATAGAATAATCAAAATACTGTATAAATCTTTGGTCCATGTCCTACTTAGATCAGTCATTATAGAATTGTTGGATTTAATAATTTCCTCTTTAGGCAGTTGGGTAGAATTGCTTTTGAGTATTGCAGGTAGTTAGGCCATGTAAAAAAAAAATTGGTTAACATCCCCTCCCTACCATCAGAGAGGCCACCAACATAATTTTTTTTTTTTTTTTTACAAAACACTCACAAACTCCATATTAATACAGGTTTGTTTACGACACGTCCGCACGCTAGCCAGACCACTTACAGTTTAATGCTCTACTGTGGTACTGTAGCCACATGGCATCCATGATGGCTGTTGTGTTGGAGTGAATTGTCCGTGATTATACTGTATAGAGATAATTGCATTATGACTGTTATTCATAAGTTTCTGCTTTCTAAAGATGAATTACATAATTTCTTGTATGGAATTTTGGTCTCTATTGTTTTCTTCTTTGTTTTGTTTTTTTTTTCCTTGCAACATTCTTTTTTCATGTTCAACATGAGGAAAATAAAACTTCCCTCCCTACAATGAAAATTGATAACATAAGGATGCTAGTACTAACCAATTTTTAAATTTTACATGGCCTTATTACATTCAAAACTTTCTCATACAATTATGTTTTTCTTGAATAAATAAGAAAAAAAAATCTAAAAAAATGTAAGAATGCACATGAATTTAAAAATGTCACATGGACCATGCTCAGACTACTGATATTTTTTATAGTTAAAATTATTTTATGGGTTGTTTGAAGTACTATGTTAGACCCATTTTACACTCCAAAACTACTCATTATATGCTTTTGAAAAATGTTTATAGTAAATGTTTTTTTTATGAGCTGTGTTATTAAAAATGACATAGTGTCAGCATCTCTTTATGTTGTCAACAGGTATCGTTGGAGCCAGCTGTTAGCCAATCATTTGTCAGTAAGCTGTGGCTGTAAACAAAGTCCATGGGACATCTATTTTGGGGTTTTATTTTTACTGATGTGTTTGTATCTCACTATGAGTCTTAGCACGGTTTTCTTCACCCTTGTGAACTTGATGGCAAACTCACTTGACTGTGTGTACAGTAATTCCCATCGCATTGGCATGATACTGTTCTTCATAGATGTGTCTGTTTTAAATAGTGAAGTTTCCCACTTCCCCACAGTCCCCTACATCGTGCCGGAGGCTTCTACATTTTAAAGGCACCCATTTCTACAAGCTATCAAACACTGAGGAGTATGATAAATATAAGACACTTATATTGTTACCTACCTGAGTTGATTTCATTTTCCAGAAATCTGCAAATTTTAGTTTAGATGGCCATACTGTATATTGATATAGTTTCTGTGGATTATGAACAAGGGAGCATTTTTACTGCATGAATGTTGTGTATATTTTGAGAGAATTAAAAATAATAATAATGAACGTCCAAAGCTTTGGTCTATGGTTAACAATTTGGCCCAGTCCATAGAACAACATGGGAGGGGGGTATATACATTCTTAGCCCTGGTTAAAAAATCCTTGTCCACATTGTATGGTAAATACAGCCACAAATACTATATATAGGATTTGTTTTTCAAACTTGATTTACTTAATTTACAGCTCTTGACTTTATGACTAATATAATTTGTTCATCTTTTTTTCCCCTTTAGATAGCAGACTTTGGACTGTCAACACTATATTCTGATAAGCTTTTGAGTACGTACTGTGGAAGTCCATTATATGCTTCTCCCGAGATTGTAAATGGAAAACCATACCATGGCCCAGAGGTAAATCGACTCATATATTCAAGAAAGGAAATGCAATTTTCTTCATGATTACTTTTTTTATTATAAAATCATGCACATCAGAAGTATAAATAAACCAGTTATTAAAATAATTCACAGTATTCATTCACATCTACGATTTCTGGCATTAGCCAAATAATAATGAATGCCCTTTTAATATTTTTTTTTTTGCCACTCCATCACTGCTGCCAGCCTACTTAATTGATAATTTTAGAAAATATAAACTTTCTTCTCAAGTAGTTACTAAGTTATTGTTGATTAGATCACCATTTTGTTTCTGCATTCCAAATATAACAGAATATTCTTTACATTTTGACTTCTAAGAGTTAAGTCAGTTCAACACTAGGCTCAAGTTGATTAAAAAAATACATTCTTTGTTAGAAAGCTGTAAAATCTGAGTGTGCAATTACCAAAACCCCTGAACCCCACTATTCATCGGACATTTACCCTCAGACTCCGATAGCGATTCCTTTCATTATAAGCATATGGTATCAATAGAGGTGCTGTAATAATTTCTCCCTTTGATTGTTATAATACGCTGCATTTAACTTGCTTTATTTTCTCCCATTGTAATAACGGAAATGAATTTGATGCTCAATTTGACTGCGATACCTTTTTCTATTTTATTTATTTGTTTATGTGTGGTGGCATGCGTGAAAGTTATATGCTTTCCAAATTCAAAAGCCAGCATGGGAAGCTAAGATTAAAATTAATCAGATTTCAGGGGAATCATAAGCCAGGCTCCAGAGGGGAAAAAAATGTTGATATGCTGTAGAACTGATTTTTTTCAAGACTCAAAAAACTTGGGAACAGTTAATGAAATACAGATTTATTTATATTTTAGAAACCGGAGGATAAAGGTGAAAGAAATTATGGTTATGCCCTTTTTTCCCCATTTTTTAAATATTCAAAAATCTATCTCATTAACCATCCTCTTTTTTTGTGTGGACCTTAGAAAAATCAGTACAACAAAACCAATTCAAACTCATTTGGCTTTTGTTTCTACATTCACGGTATTTTTTTTAAATTATCTATTTTGATAATATTGTATTTTTTTACCATTTAAGAAAACTGAGAATTTATTCATTTTAAAAAAATATCTTATAGGCTGACTGCTGGAGTCTTGGTGTCATGTTATATGCAATGGTTTACAAAACAATGCCGTTTAATGGTGCAAAATTCTCATTACTACGGCAACAGATAACAGAAGGAGTGTACTACGAACCAGAAAACAAACCAGGTAAGATTTTTTTTTATAAATATGAGAATGTACATTTTTTAGAAATTATTGAATGGGGAAGGTGCAGTGATTTCCATTTAGGTTCTAAACCTTGTTTGTGAGGATTCTAACATGCAGACCATTGTCGGTCATGCTTACCCCAGTCTTATAGTTACCTGTTGACAGCCTGTGAAGAAGCTCAAGCTATGCTCTTGTCAATATTGATGGTAACATCAGGCTTCACATACAGTATCAAGATAAAAAGAAAGAATATGAATTAGTTGATTAGTGTTTTAACCTGGTTTCCTGTAGTGGTTAAGGCGTGGTGCCTAATAGCCATTATATGTGGACTGTTGTGGTCACATACTTAAGAAAGGTGAAATGTAATTGGATGCACATATGCGGATGTTGCGAATATTTCCTAAATACATTTAATCTCTCTCCTCCTATAGTCAATTCAATTAAAATATGTATTAACATACTTTGAAAAAATTCATTTGGAATGAAGATAAACTGTTAATGTTGATATATTAACATTTTTTTTGTCTCATTATAGTTGCATCTCGGTTAATACGAAGACTACTGACCGTCAATGCAAGGAATCGTGCTTCAATAAGTGATATTATGCTTGACCCCTGGGTCACAGATCCACCTTCAATCCCTTCATGCTTTACATTTGATGATGTCAAAGACGAAAAAATATTGGACTTGAACTTATCGAGCGACAGTGATGCTGAAAGAGCAGAGGAACCAGTTGCTAAACAAGTGGTGGGAATTTTGAAAAACTCCAGTGGATCTAACAAGCAGGTTGTTAATGATTCATATGAAAATCTTGCACCTGTGCAGAACTGTGTTATAGTCAAGAAGGACAGTATAAAAGTCCGTCAGAAATCTGATAGTCGTAATCGTAGACCCCGCCGTGGTATTCTTAAGAAACATGGCAAGTACAGAGGTGCTGATAGTGGACTTAGTATTGATGAGCCTATCTCATCTGAAAGTAAATCTGAAAATACCAAAGAAGAGGAAATTCTGGATAAGGAGACTAGTGTTAAAACAAAAGGGCAGCGTGATTCCAAGAGAGATTCTGGTATTGATCAAGACATGCCGGCATGTTCCACCAACACAGAATCTTCAGAGTGTGTAATGAGACCCCGCAAGCAGTTCAATCGTAATAGTGCGGTTCGAATATCTAAGCGCTATTCAAAGGGGAAGTACTCGTCAGTGACCCAGGTATGGGAGACTATCTACAACTCTGGGGTGGATCCAATTCATTGTTTAACAGAACTAGAAGCGGAAGTAAACAAGGGAAATCATACACGGCAGGAAAGCGCCAGTTCAACAGAAGATCTCCTGGATATTCTCGACAGAGAAAACCAAGATATTCTGCAATCAGTGGAATCAAACCATAACCAAAGTATTGCAGCAACATCCGTCCATTGTAGCAAAGCGTCTCTCAAAGTAACCAGTACGTCTGAAATATCCACCAGTGAAGAGGTTATTGACCTGTACTTAAAAGCTTTGCGAATACCGCATCAGGAACACTAAACTAAATTCATGTTTTGCTGAAGGATTTGTCACACTTCTTTTGTGGAACCTATTGCCCTGGATTTTTCTTTATCTGAGAAGTATTAGAAAACAATAGGAATGATTAATATCTTTCATTCTGAAGAATTTTTTTTTCTTTAACGAACTGGAGTTCATTTGTAGATAGTGTAAATGTCAAAAATAACCATATACATGCTTAAAATTTATGCTTTTAAATGGATTTTTTGAGAAATTAATTGTTTAGAAATGAGATGAAAATACTTTTTTAACACACATAGTGTTCACTGTTACCTGTTGGGGTGATGTTATTATTTTTGTAAATTTTGCTTATCATAATATGATCACATTATTATGTGATATCCTTTAAAATGTCTTTTGCAACCACATGTTATGTTATGGTGGACCAAATAGCATGGCATAATTTTAGATATTGCATGTCATCATACAGAACAGTGTATAATAGCTACAGTAATTGATAGATATAAATATAAAGGTAGGATATAATCCCAGTGTTTACATGATGTTGATAGCGTCATAGCATATGGACAACTCAAATCTATATACAAGTATAAATATATAAAATGATATTATTATTTCATTATGAATATATTTCTACATAATGCTATAATTTCTTGCTAATGGTTCTGTTTATTTTGTATCAAATATGTTGATATTTTTGTCTACATCAGTGAACAGAAAAGACAAGAGCGAGTGCCAAAGATACTTTTGTGCTGTTGTATCAAGGTTTTCTTTTTTTTGTGCAATTTTATAAGCCAATTCTGTAGTTTTTTTCCCCTAAGTTACTTGTGTAATTTTAATAAGATAAAAACTGTCAATTTAATATATATTTAAGTTGAATTTGTAAATTTTTAAAAGCAAATGGCATTTGGAAGAATTATGTTATTAAAGGAATATTTCATAAGGTGTAAATGTTTGATATATATATGGTATACCTGTATATATAGATCTTTGTAATAATCAAATATGCTAGTACTGTACTTAATTGTGAACATTCTGTTTCATATATTAAAGTTTTAAAGGTTTGCTGCAGGGCAAAAACCAGTATTTCTGTTAAAATACATAAACTTTACATTAAAAATATCTTTACATCCAATTTCTGTATTAGCTTATATTAATTTATTTAAGATGTTTCTCTGTTGACATTAGAATAATTGCAAACTAAAAGAATGTGGTGTAGAACTGGAGATTCTGCAGACAAGGATTTGAGCTGAATAACTTAATGGTTAAAATATTTGCTTCACAATCCCAGAGTCATGGGTTTGAACACTGACACTGCAGATTTTTTTTTCTCAAGACTGAAAACAGCTCCACTCCCAAAGCCTCATTAAGAGACTGACTTTCTAAAGCATCATTCCATCCTGCAATTGGCGAGTGTACTTGCTGTTGGATGTGAGTGATATAAAACAATTATAGAGGGCGCAATGCATATTTCTATTATACTGTAACTACAAGGCATTATTGAGATGAGTTTAAACCAGTTCATAAATTGGTTTTGTTTATATGTGATTACTGGCATTGAGATTAGTTTCACTGTGTAGATTTCCATTGTCATATTTACACATGTTACTGATTTCAACAACTTTTATATATTATATATATAAATGTTGATTTGGATCCAGATGAATTTAGTTAAACTTTTACTTACTAACTTAGAAGAGTAAAATTTAGTTTTTCCAATCGCTAAGACAATTAATTTCTTACAGTATTATTTTCTGTCATTAATTATTATTAGTCCCACAAAAATTAAATAATAACTCATGATTCATGCAAGAATGATAATTATACTAAATGTTAATTTGTAATAAACAATGTTTCATTTGTTATAGTACTTTTTAATGGAGATATCACTCTTTATATCCTACATTTTGTTTACCATTCACTAATAATAAGACACTAGAATTAAGCAAGAAAACCTGATTACTGTCGTAAATTAAATTACCTTATAACTTTAGTAGCTTGTGTATGTCCACTGTCACATCTTTCATTTGCAAAACGTTCAAAGATGCATTTGTGATACATTACAACAATAAAAACAATTTAAAAATCATGCACTGATATAATCTGTCTTCATGTTTTGTATCAAATATAATGTGTTAAATCACTTGCAGGATTATTACATGCTTTATGAGAAAGAAAAAAAAACAACTTTATTCTTAATATGACTTTTAAATTCCTACAACCTACCTCAGACCAAGCCTTGCAGAACTTTCTTGCCTGCTGTGATAATTTATAATTTATATCTGCTTTTATTCATTGCATCAAAAACTGACTTTTTGATTGTAATACATTACAGAAATAATGCAACAGTCATCAGAACTTTTTAAAAAGTTAAAAATAAGTAAAAGCTCTTGTTTCATAAACTACAATGGAAGGGCGCTTAGCACACCAGTCACCATCCAGGTATTTAACCTTGTGGTTAGTAGTGTGGCAGCACCATGCTGTCCAACTCGCGCCAGGTTTACCCTGTTTTTAATGTTGATGGGCTGTCAATAATTTATGCTTATGTTTCCAACCATAAATGCTGTTGGCTATGGCAACCTGGGGCTGGATTTATCAAACTAGAAAAATCAGCTTAAATTTGCCTTTAATTGGCGCCATCTATTTTTTTCCCCTTAAGGCTGTTTTCAACTAGTTAGCTTTATTCAAACTTACCTACTGTACAGTTCGTAAGCCGGTTTTCCACTAAGCGAATTTATTCGTGCGAATCGAAAGCGTCGGCTAATGCGCAAGCGCATTTACATTTCTATTTCGTTTTTGCGAAGCGAAAAAATGCGCAACCAATCGGCTCAGAAAGCGAACCGCCTAGTGGAAAACAGGCTTTACTTTACTCAAGCTTTACTTAACATTAAATGTGCCGCCCTCTAGTGTTTTAATGTGATACCTTTTTTACATATACTGCATTTGTTACTAAGGCAAATTCAAGGTAAAACACAAGCATGAAATGGACCCATTCTAAAAAGGATGGGTTCACTTTATAAAATATGGTCCCATATTAGATAAATTTGCAAGTAAAATCGGTCCAATTTTTTTTTTAAACAGGATACACATTATCCCATTTATACTTATAAAATGAGTCCACATTTTAAAAGACGGGTCGACTGTTATGGGCCGACTTTTAAGAAGAATCCGTTACCAATGATTTTGGCTTGCGGAAGATTGCTTTTATCAAAGAAAGTCATAGTATTAGGCCTAAAAAATGTATTTTTAATCTTGAATCTAAAAAACAGGATCGAGGTAGTGATAAAGACATTATTTATTTGAATTGTTCAATTCAATAAATAGGAATATAAAATAGAAGTACAGTAGGCCTACATTGCTCAATTCGAGCCCTCTTCCGAGATCCTTCTAATACGATTAAGCCCATACGAGACCACTTTTTCAAAGCACTGTACCAACTTACCAACATTCAATCTTTTAACACAACATAACCCCATCATTATATTATAACCCGAATTTTTAGGTCCCAAAAATGATTTAGATTTGGAGGACGAACTGTAGCCTACAATAATAAAAAATGGATTGGATCCATAATAATCGTACTGCATGCCAAAGATCTTATGAACACAACTACTCTTATATATTTCGTTCAAAAGTTCACATAAAAATGATTTTTGAAAATCTACTGTTGTCACTTTGTGTAGGTTTGAAATAATTCGGTAGTTGTTACTGCACGACTCGCTGCACGTTTTCGCTGCATGACAACTCAGTCCTTTCTGCAAAATTGAAAAGCGCAATCGCAGATTTTACGTAGAACCTCTACTAGTACGTCGAGCACGTACAGTTTTGAAATTAACGTAGCAATTGTGACTTGAAATCGTGAAATTTACAGTATTTTTTTTTTAAACATGAGTGGTAATATGTCAACATAAATAGACCGTCAACAGTTCTTTAATCAAGCCGGATTTGAACCATATATTTTCGCGTATAGCCTACTCATTGATCTAACAACTGGAGCAAGCGCTTAGCACTTCAGTTCTGAGCTAAATTTGTATTAAAGGGGGTGGTAGTTACGAGATACTGCTAGCATTTTCTCAAAAGATTACCAGTACCATTAAATACCAAACATCGATCTTGGTGATTATCATCTGCCAACACTGATATTCATCTTGCTAATTTTCCAACTTATCTTACACAATGATTTAAAAATTATCAGAGTTATCATGCTGTACAGGCGGATAGCGGATGTTATTTTTAGATAGATTTAAGTATTTTAAAAAATAACTTCTTTTTACGTATCACATAGTTAACCAAATCCAATTACTTTAAATTTTTGCAATATGACAAATTGAAATTAATTCAAACATTTTTCAATTAACGAAAATATAAAAACAATGTGTATAATGTAGAAATTGATATATATATATATATATATATATATATATATATATATATATTATATATTATATATATACATACATATATAACAGAAAATGAAACAGAAAATATCATATTTCAATTTAGCTGGTCATTCAATTTCAAATTTCAGAGTGATTGCAATTGACCATAATGCCAGTTGGAGCGACAAAAATCGCAGAGATAAAGAGAATCACTGGGAACTTTTACTTAAAACAACCACACCATTTGGACTCAATATTAGGAACGTTCTCCCAGTACACTAAATTAAACCAATGGCATTTCAATTTATTCCTTATAAATCATATGGCTTATTTATTGAGGCTTGCCTCTAAAGTTTAGTTTTGGCCTTCCTATTTACTTGTTTAGGCTGTTTATTCTAATCTCACCCAGCCTACTGTTTCCAATCATACTTGCATGTAATTCTCACTTTATACCATCTAGCTTTTTACCGATATATAAGGCAAATAAAATCAATCCTTAGTTTCACGTCCCCTCCCTCATTGAATTTTGGAGACAGACGCATGAAAAATGTACTATGTAGGCCTACTATTTTTCGAAAAATATAAAATTTTCTGGTAAAATGAAATAAAATCCTGAAACATTGATTATTCTGGGCATAGAACGTAGAAATATTAAACAAAATTATCAAATAAAATGGTTTTCTTTGATTCCTTTTCTTCTTTTTTTCAAATACTGTTTTTATATTTACCGCTAGTTTTCTATAGATAAGAATATAGTAAATAGCAATAGTAAACCCCTCACCAAATGTTATTATAATAATAATAATAATAATAATAATAATAATAATAATAATAATAATAATAATAATAATAATAATAATAATAATAATAATAATAATAATAATAATAATAATAATAATAATAATTATTATTATTATTATTATTAATGTAAAATATCGGACGTGAAACTAAAATTCAATTTTATTTGGTCTATTAACTAAATATTTATTTTAATAACAATTAAGTCTTTATCTTCTCATTGTAATTTAATATTACACTGCAATTGTAACGGTTCCTGATGATGACAATTAGTGTCGAAATATCGAATCCCAGCACGATGGCGTTTATTTCAATAGGCCTACTTGGAGTACGCATTATACTTTCTGTAACTGTTTTGTTCGTAAATTTGAGGATTTTGAAATAAAACCAGGATACTTATCTGTGTCGATTGTTGTATTTTGGTCGCATAAATTAGGACGACCATTAGATTTTATTTGAAAGAAATTGTATTATGTACCGTACTGTGTTTGTGTTTCAATAATATAATTGCAATGTCAGTTTTGCTTTTTTTTCACAAAATAATGTCTGTGGTCGGCAATGTAACAGCTGCCCCTGCCAATGTTGAAAAATGTCATTAAATAAATAAATAGCATAGGCCTAATTATAGTCACAATAAATAGCATAATTATAGATTAATTATTATAGTAAAACTTTAAAAAACTAATTAGGTAAAATGTATACTCACATCACATCACTCACATACATCGAGCCTACAAGACGATCTCCTAATTTTTGATGATAATCAAGGGTAACAGAGTTTTTCAAATGTGAGAATATAATTAAAAAACCACACATAACAATTTAATTATAAAGTTTAATAATGAATAAAAGATCGATCACTCGAGAAGCTCCGATAAGTGGGGGGGGGGGAGAAGTGGGGGGGGGGGGGGAGGGGAGAGCGCCCTCTCTTCAAAAAGATTTAGCTTCGAAAAGTGATAGTTTATTTTGTACATCGATCGTAGTTACGTGGCACGTAAATAAATACTTAGAGCAAACGCTTACTTTGAACACAGAGGGTCAAGCCAGAACAGTGTTTCCTTTATTGTAATTACGGTAGTACATTACTAGGCCTATTAAACCTTTTATAACTTGCGTCAGTATGTTGGTGGTTGACTTAAAACATATCATATGATGAGTGATAGTGGACGACAACGACCCCATTTCTTTCACAATTTTAAATGCATTTCCCGTATCACACTCCTTGATGCATATCCGTGCTTTTACATAAAGGAAAAACGCTATAGGATGGAAATAAAATTTCTTAACATTCATACACCTAAAGATATGTAATAAAATGTCGTCATCGGCCCAGCAACAATCCAGTTCCCAAGTTCCAATGGTTGTAGTTGCTCCTATGGTTAAAAACCGGAAACTATTACTTTGTTTAAAGATAGGAAGCATCATATCCAGCGATGAAACAACATTTCTCATTTCGTTGTAATTCCACATCAAGTAATGGTATTTAAGCAATTTAATTTGGATAAATACCAATTGGCCATTTGCTAAGCCAAGGGGTGTCTCATCAGTTCCTAATTCATATAATTTTAACAGTCTCTCATGACAAATTTTCATATTTTTGTACGACAATTTATTTCGTAAATTGACTAATAGTGAAGTATACACATCGCCTAAATATCTATACAGACGAGCTCTGAATGCGGCAACAAACGCCTGTGGCACTATATTGCCAATACTTTCGATGATTGGTAAGATTAATTTTGGGATTAAATACAACGGATCACTTTTTAATTGTTCAACTAAAGAGAGCATAAGATAGTCCGATATTCGTGCATAAAGGATATGCATATATTTCTCTGATTCGAGACTGGATTCTATTTGAGAAAGCATAGGTACAATTTTCTGTACGATATCTGGATGTTCAAAAAGACTCTCTCAAGTGAACTCCAGTCACATGCTTTATCGACAATAACTTTAATGTTGAGAGCATCGCAAATTTTATTTACAAAAACATGGGAACCGGTATACAAACAATCTAAACATGACATTTCCATTGCCCAAAGGTGTTTTCTAATTGTCGTCAATCTCGCTATTACATCATCACATTCTGTTGATAGATGTTTAATTAAATTTTGCTCAGGTATGAAATAATGTGGTAAGTTTCGTCTCTGGTAGCAATCGATAAGCCAATTTAATGTCGCTCTGGTCAATTCCATTATGTTGCAAGTTGTTCTCGGTATTCTCTCGCACATCCACAGGCAAGCGGTTTTGACAAAATACGAACAAAATGGCGTTGGTTTAGCAGAGTCGTCATATATAACATACTTGTTCTTCAGTGCTTTCATTACATACATGCACTTAAAATGCGACTCAGGCATTTCGTGCAAAAGTTCCTTTTCATGTAATGAAAAAGACAATCTCCATTCAACATCTGGCAACTGTGTCTCATGGGGCCCACATGGTACTACAAAGCAGTCAAGTTTAGACATTTTATCCAGCAGCGCTTTCGACGGCCAGTTTTTTCTTGGCCTTGTAAAAAATTCACGTGCTCGTGGTGACCACTGGCACCTCATACAAAGTATCGTGTCCAATGCATCTGATTTCGGGCCTTCATAGCCTGGAAATTTTTTCAAAGTTCCAATATATTGAATAGAAGGGCCTCTTCGTTTAGTTTTAGGAATGTTCTTGTATATACACATGTTTATCAAAACGTCATTCATTAAAATTCCACTTCTACCAAGACTTTTGATAATTACATCATCGAGGCCTTTTTTGTTATCGTTTGCTTGAAGCATCAGATACAGCGGTTCATATAAACATTGCGAAGCAGTTAAATATCCCGATTTACTTATATCATACAAGTCTGGTGATTGAAACAACACCATTGGAAATGATCTTCGCAGGAACATTATGTCCTCATCGTTACAGACATCGAGGGGCATGCCTTCATATAAACTTCCAGTACCGTACGTATGACAGAATGCCTTAGTTTCTTTGAACAATTTGTCTCTTATTTCATATCCAATTTTATCAATATAAATATTAGCCAATCTGCTCGTTACATTAATGTCAATAATTGCGCTGGCAAATTCGTCTAACATTTTGCGCCGTGTCTCTGCTGTGTGTGTCATGTTGTCACAATTTGGCCTAAAGTTGCGACGAGCAGTATCAGTTGGTAATTTTTTGTTGGTACTGTATTTTCTGAAAAAGCATTAAAAGTAATAGATTACAATGTAAATTGTCATTACAGAAATAATCAGCGAACATTAAACAGGCTATAAAAAGCATTTTCAGCATAAGCACAAAGATGATATTATTAAAAAATAATACGGTTTCTAGATTTTCACAAGGCCTTTGATCAAATCAACAGAAACCTTCATGTTGTCCGTTTTTAGAAAAACAAATTGCGGCCCATATACCATGAAGCAAAAATTATATAGAATAACTTACAACGCTATTATCACTAAATAAAAAGGGATGTGGACACATTAATTGTTATTTTAACATTTAAGATAATTAGTATTTAAATAACTTTAAGGAAATCACACAACCAATAAAAGAGAGCAAGTTTGAACTTCGAATTACATAATTTGCAGGTGTGTGCGCTGAACCGTAGAGATCTCTTGGTCCCCGGTTCAATTCCCATCGCTGCCTCTCCTTGTGTTTCAGCTAGAGGGCTGAAATACAAGTTACAATAGCGCACCGTCTTTCGGGATGAGACGTTTAAGCCGTTGGTCCCGTGTGCATTATGGCCCATGTGCACGTTAAAGAACGCAGTACACTTTTCGGAAAAGAGTAGGGGATTATCTCCCGGTGTACTGCCCAATCACCACCAGAAGGACCCCACTGGAAATTAAAAGTCTTCTTCTAGACTTTCGTGGGCTATCCTTGGTGTTTACACCGAATAAATTCAATCAATCAATCAATCAATCAATCAGGTGACACCAAGATACTTTGCAATTTTACGCTGTTTATTCTCATCTCACATAGCCTATTGTCCCTAATCATGCCTGCAAATTCTCACTTTATACTTCCTTTTTCTACCCTCACTCACTCGCCACTGAGGAAGGACTAGTGTTGTCCGAATGCTCTGGTTCTATTTCTGGCTGTTTACTTACGTTTACTTTGTAGCTGTTGCCTATCAATTTTGTATCTCACCGAGATTCAGCTACTGTTTCCAACAGCGTTGTTGTTTTTCAGTATTTTGCCTTTTAATATATATATATACTGTCTCTTATACACATCTAGATGTGTATAAGAGACAGGGAATATGGAGTAGGACCGAAGCAGCTGTCAGCCAGATGACCGCCAATAAATAAGGCTTATGGAATGCTGGTGATGCATGCACAATTAATAATAGTGTTCAGTACTTTCGCTAAACACAAACACACGCAATAGTGTATACACTTATAGTGATTGAACAGTACTTTAACATGCTAACATACAACAATGCTTTTATTTATATTAATGCATATATAGGCCAAACAGTATTACATGAAGAGAGAAGTGCAGACAACCATGCCAACTGTATAGTTGCTCAACATTTGGTTTATTAGGTTATTCGAAAAATGTTTTAATCGCCTTTGTAAATTAATGTGTCCAAGGAATAGAATTTTTTTTCCAGATATGTTTTTTCTCTATAAATGTGTTAATTCGTATTTTAGTTGTGATCTTATACATTCTGTTTCGTTTTCATGTTAATTCTAGAAGCCTTCGTTCCTGCCCTACCTTTGTAGAGTTGATGTCTGTAAACGTAGTTTTATTTCTAGACTTTCTTTACAATATAATTCTCTTATTTTAACTACTAATATTGACATTTTTCACAATAGTTTGTCTATATTTCGTTCTATTATAATAATTCATTTGAATAGGTGATATTTTTGTACACTTTCGTCTGTATATTTTGTACATTTAAATGTTATATATTTTACCAGCCTGTTAGTGGCGATGATTCCCTGTTGGTCTGTTGAAATGAAATAAATAAATAGACAGCAATATTCTTTGATGCATGGCAAGCAGTGGCGGATCCAGGTATGTTAAATAAAGGAAGCCCAGGGAGGGACTTTGACAGATGGAGGCTTTATACCACCTCAGCCCCACCATGGTTGGGGCTGAGGTAAGAAAATTTAATGTTATGTCGCCTCTAGATGGCTGGAAATGGCACTCTCAGACAACATTTGAATGTAATTTTCTTTTTTTCTCCAATGTTTTACAATTTTGAAAAATTTAGTGGGGCCCGGGCCGGCTCCCCCTCTCCAACCCTTAATCCGCCACTGGCAAGTGAATGTGATACGCCCTCTTCTTATAAGTATTTGAGGCATCAACATTTTCCAAATTTGATAAATACAGTATTCATATGCTGAAACCTTCCTCAATTTTACTTAATACTCAGATGTAATATTATCTTGATTTAGTCATGCAGGAATAAACTTATTCCTCCATGACTCAGTATTGTCAAACATTTCAAAATTCAAAAACATTAGGTTATTTATTGAATCTACTAACAACATAAATTAATAAAATATTTACCTTAAAATTCTCTGTTTTTAGTGAGGTACTAATGTGAATAGTCTCCAACCAGAGAGATATGCTATAATACTAGGCCTATATCTTTGGTCTTGTGACTTGGTAGGGGTGGTTTCTTTGTTTAGGCAATCAACAGTGAATGAAAACAAATTATGCAGAATTTTAACTGCTGTGAAGTGCTTAGTATTATTATACCCTGAGTAAATACTGTTACAACGTCACAGACTTAGTTTCATTACCATAGCTAATTGATGTCAATCCAAGTCGGGTTTTTTAATTATGCTTTCGTTTTTTTTGTTTTTTTTTTTTTTCAATTTCTACCACCAGCCTCGCCTCGGCCCCAACTCAGATATAGCCCCCTCCCTTCCTCATTGGCAAAGTGTGCTCAACTTATTGACAACAAATATTATATGAACGATTACAAATTACAGACTCTAAGCTTTTAAATCAGCGGCGTACCTATAGAACTTGAAATTCGGAAGAGGGGGAACATGTTGATGATGGTGATTTTTAACTACGTGAGCATGATTTTTTTATTCAAACATTTTCTATGGGGTGGATTAAGGTGTGCACCCCTGTGCACCCACTAGATACGTCACTGTTTGAAACCCATACATTTTTTAACATAATTATGTGGGGATTCACTCTTAGACCCTAGTCAAAAGGAGTTTGGATTTGAACTAGAGACCAAGGATACACAGTTCACTACGCATAGAATACAATGGCAAGTATTTAAAGAGGGTGAATTAGGTTTAAATAGCATTCGCTTTCATGAGCGCAGATCCTGGGGATAGGGACACGTCCCCCCACATATTTTTGAGGGGGGTAAGGTTTGGTCCAACACTTTCCACCGCAATGTAATTTCATAAGTAAAGATGATGCCTGAAAGTTGTTGAAATGGACTGCATAAACGACCCAGTTTTTAACGAAAATGTGCTGTACAGCCTGAGTACAGTACTTTACATCTTATAGCAAGATACCGGTATTACTAACGTCTGAATTACCTACAATGCACGACTCAAGTGCGCATGCTTTTCTTATAACTTGAGAAGTACGAGAAAAAGTATAAGATTTTCGGCACACGAAGTACGTAAAGTAAGGTAGGCCTAAATACATCAAAGAAAATTAACTTTTATTTTCTATAGTACAATACAGATTAATTAGATCTCTATGAAAGTCACTGAAAAAAGATCATGGTGATGTTATGATGATTCAATTCAATTCAATTCAAAATAAATTTATATCAAATCTTTTTAAAGTACAGAGATATGAAAATGGAAATGGAAAGGGCAACCACAAACAAGCGGAGCTTTACACAAAGGTAAAAAATGATGACTTAGTATATAAGAGTGTCATTTCTAACCAGCTTGAGGTAATTTCCTCATATTCACCTCAGCCTCAACCATGGTGGGGCTGAGGTAGGTGTGTTCTCGTGGCTTTGTAAAGTAAAATATTTACATCAAAGACAATGTTTTTAAGGCAGAAAACACCCAAAGTATAAAATTTACAGTCGGAGAAGAACATGAAGCAAAGATCCCATTTCTGGATACTTTAATCATAAGGAAACCAGATGGAAGTATCAAGGTGCTAGTATACCGAAAAAGACCCTTACAGATCAATATTTACATTTTGCATCCCACCATCCTCTCAATCACAAATTGGGGGTCATCCGAACGTTATTGGACCGCATGGATAAAGTGATAAGAGAAAGATAAAGAACAACATTATTTAGAAAGCATTATGAAAATGTGGATATCTTGAGTGGAGTATGGATAGAGTGAAGAAAGACGGAGAACATAAGAAAACAGAAACAACAAACACAAAAAAAAAAACAACACAAAAAACCCCCCTCAGAAATATAAAATCTAGAGTAGCATTAACCGTCCCATACTTTACAGGGGGTCACCGAGAATATGAAATGGATCTTCCACAAGCATCAGATTAACACGGTCGTCACACCTAACACCAAAATTCTTTTAGTACACACCCTAAAGACAAGATTAGTATAGACAAAACGGCAGGATGTGTATATGAAATTCCGTGCCACAACTGCAAAAAGTCGTGACGGCTGTTCGGAACGAGGAAAAAAAAACAGCAAGAAGAAAGTTAGAATCGGGAAAAAATAGGTTTACAAGAGCTACAAGAAAAGAATCTTAATCCATGGACAAATGAAATCCTCAGTAGCAGAACAGGCTAGGCTGCTACACAAAATCATGTTATTGATTGGGAGCTAGCAGCAAACTACTTGCAAAGGACTCAATAAAACATAGGGCCTACTAGATGGATTATAAAATCTATTTTTGGATTAGAAGGAAAGGGGAAACAACAGCAAAGAAATGCTAATGAACACAGACGAGGAGGCGTACCAACATCTTTCTGGTGAATCAACAGGGGTGGCGCCAGGATTTGCCCGCCGGAGGGGGGGGGGGTGAGGTATCCGACGTGGAGGCCGATGCCTCCAACGAGGGGTCAGATTTCCCCGACGAAAGCAATGTGGGCGTGGTCGGGCTTCGATTAAAAGGTTTCGAAAGTGGTCCAGGGGACGAAGCCCCTGAAATTTTAACAATTTAGGGGTTTCAAAGGCTTATTTAATCGACTTTAGAGTCTACTAATATGTAGAAAATACATATAATTGTTTTTTCTCCCCGACAAATTGTCCTTTTTCTCCCCGACGGGGGGAGGCTTAAGGTAATAAATACCATTAGTTGTACAGTACCGGTAGTAAAGAATAGGTATAGGCCTAGGCCTTAGTCGTGGCTTGAGAGCTCAGCGCAGGAGATCCGATGTTGTGTGTTCTATTTTACCGATTTTACGCGTGCATATGGCCCGATTTTGATAAAAATACATGTCTGTTTTAGGTTTTATGTTTTAATATTAATTTCGAAAGTGGTATTTTTCGAACTTGTACTTCAACAAATTTTCAAAAAAAAAAAAAAACACTAATGAAATGAAACTTAAAATATAATAAATCTGCTCCAAAATATATTTGTCACATCAAAATCCTTCTTCACATTAAATATTTAAAAGTTGTTTTCGTTATTTTCATTTTGACAGTTAGTGCTACCCTAACGTTCTTGCAATGATTGCTTCTATTGTAGTCCTTAATAACGCTCCTAAGACC